CTGGCTTCGGGATGGGCGGGCGGGCGGGCGGGCGAGGCCAGCGGGTGAAGCCTAGGCCGGGACAGGGACTGGGAGCCCCTTCTGCTCGTGAGCTGCTCTGGCGGCGCTGGCCTTGCCTTCTCGGTGCTCACCCCCTCTCCGCCACCCACACCCCTCCCTCCCTCCCTCACACACTACACCACACCACACCAGGGTGCCCTGGCACGATCCACAGGCAGTCTTATTCCCCCCTCCCCTTTCTCCTATGCTTTTCTATCAGAAATCAACGAGTTTGCCCGGGTGATTGGAATTGATCCTGAGCATGAGCCGGAGTTGATGTGGTTGGCGCGAGAAGGCATTGTAGCCCCTCTGCCTGCAGAATGGAAACCCTGGTAAGAGAAGAAGAGGCCCTTGCCTCCGGCGGGGGGGGGGTGTCGCCTGCTGGGCTTGTACCCACAGGCGCTCTGAGTGGACCCCTTTGTGGGGCACCCAGCGAGACCACTGCCAGGTCTGGAGTCAAGAGCTTCCCTTTGCAAGGCCAGCGAAGCCTTGCCTGCTCATACAGCAGAAGAAAATGAGAGTGACTACATCTAGTCTTAGACTGTTTGGAAATGTGGCTTTGCTCTGCAAACAAATACCATTGGGCTACATGCAAGTTGACAGATGATAGGAGCAGATTATGCTACAGGGAGAGTTAGCCATTTAATTTTTTTAGGTTTTTGATTCATGAAAGATCTACGCTTCCTTGAACTAACTTATCAGCAGACATAACAAATAAGACACAATGTAAAGAAGATGTATAGGAATAGGTGTTTAGAATTCTTGAAACAAAAAAAATAAATAAACATATAAATAAATAAACTGTGTGCTTTTGTATCACTTAAAGATAGATGTGAAGAGGGAGGGCCAGTTGAAAAGTTCAGTAGGAAGGACAAAGCGTGACTCTGCTTTAGAGTCTGTGTCTTACTGCTGTGTTTTAAGGCCAACTCGCATTAGAAATGTGTTGGTAAACTGTATAAGGTCAGGATCCTCTTGGCAGTAGTGCATGTTTTATGTAATTGCCACTGCTAATTGAGGTAGGGCCATGTGCCTTAGTTTTAAAATTTGAGGTAGGACCAGGCATGTAACGGAAGCATGTCCTGGCACCTCATAAGTCAAAGCAAGCTAAGGAAATCTTTTGTGAACATGAATAGGATTTTGGTCTATGGGATAGTTGTTTTCAGAATGTCTGGGCCATAGCAATGTGTAGATTTTTTTTATGCACTAACTACTGAATTCTAAAGCAGGCCTCATGTAAATTTTCTACGGGTGCCTCTACTTTGGAGACAGACCATTATGTGTTTTATGGTGCCCTGGACTGTAGTTGCAGCTCATGTAGAAAGCACCTCAGCCCCTGTTGCTCCCTCCTGCTGTGCCTTTCTGAAAGTGAAAATCCTGAAACAACCCGAAGCTGTGGCACCTAGGCTTTCTAGCATGTCAACATTATTTTTTTTCTGGAATAAGGTTTCAGCTTCTTCATCTGGATATTTTCTGACTGCCATTTAAGAGCATGATCATTCTATATACTTTGCTGGTGTTGCTTTTTCTTATTTTCAGCCTCCTGGATTACCGTATCCGAAGTGCTGCCTGCCACTTTTCCTCTGCAGGAAGCATGATAAGTAGATATGGAGGTAGAAGCTTCAAGGAATGTGATCAAACTAAATCCCCCTGCAGAGGAACTGAGGGGTTCACCATAACTTTTTAAAAAATATATTTTTATTGTATTTTTTCTGCTTTTCCATCCGTTGCAACCAGAGTGATTTATTACAATATATTACATTCATTTAATCTTATCTTATACTCTCTAACATAGTATTGATGTAATCTCTTCTACTTAAGTTGTTGTAGATTTCATCCAAGTATAAAGAGGTTCCCATTTGTTATTATCCAGTCTGTCATTTAATGTATCTGTCAAAATATCCATTTCTGCTAGTTCCAAAATCTTTTCAATAAATTCCTTCTTTGTCGGAATCTCTGTCATCTTCCACTTACTGGCATATACAATTCTAGCTGCCGTTATCAAGTGTAAGGTCAGGAATGTCTTGGTTTTTTTTCAAGTATAGGTGGTAATGTATTCAGTAAGAAGCTTCCTGGTGTCAAAGCAATTTTAACCCTTAAAATTTTCTCTATCATTTCATGAATCATTTTCCAAAATTCCTTGGCCTTACTGCACGTCCACCACATGTGATTGACGCTCCCTACATTTTTTTCACATTTCCAGCACTTGTTAGAAACATTTTTATACCTTTTTGTTAATTTCTCTGGTGTTACATACTATCTATAAAACATTTTATAAATATTTTCGTTTAGATTTTTAGATTTAGTCATTTTAATATTTCATTCCCAAATTTGTGACCAGGCGCTTAATTCGCTATTATGTCCTATATTTTGAGCCCACTTTACCAGGCAATCCTTCACAATTTCATCTTCCAAATGGAAAAAAGGGGTTCACCATTACTACCTGTTCCACTCACTTGCCTCTGACGAAGGTCGCTTTTCCAAGCATTAACTGGACTTGATGGTGTCTTCATGAGACTTGGCATTAGTTTGCTATGAAAGTAGAGTTGCTGTGTATTCATGTATGTATGTGTATATAGATATATGTTTATATCTTTTTTTTCCTAATTTCATGCCTGTTTTCAGCCAAGACATCACTGGAGATATCTATTACTTCAATTTTGCAAATGGTCAGTCAACCTGGGACCATCCATGTGACGAGCGCTACCGACAGCTTGTAATTCAAGAGAGGGAAAAATTGCTGGACCATGGAGGCCTCAAAAAGAAAGACAGGAAAAAGAAGAGAGAGAAGAAGAAAGAGAAACAGGAAAGAGAGTTCCTGAAATGTCCAGTTGTGAGTATCCTAGTTCCAGGAAGGGACAGCTGAGGCCTAGTCTTGGGGAGAACGCAGGCCTGTTGCATGTCCCCTGCTGTCCCCAGGCTGGTCCATTTCCACCTTCCTTCTGTGGAAAGCCCAGCCCTCATTAGTCCTGTCTGGGTCTCTGCAGTTCTGTGCATATGCTCACCAGAATGTGCAAGAGTACAGTGTGCATAGTAGCCCTATGTGTTTGAACCCCTGCATCCTTAGCTTGCAGCCTTGGGGCAATGACTGACATAAGCTGAAAGGACATTGATCTTTCAGTGAAGTAATGGTGAAGACAGCTTGGTTTCAGGTAAAGCAAAAAAAAAAGTGTGCTGCTTACATACCTCCGCATAGTGCTTAAAGCACTCTGAGAGGTTTACAAATTAATTACGCAGGGTACACATTGCTCCCCCCCACCCAGTGAGCTGGGTACTAACTCATCTTCTCAGAAAAGCTGAAGGGCCAAGGGGGTGCACAGAAATGTGTAACCATTTGGCCCTCAGCCCATGAGGAATGCAGGCTTGCACAGGGACACATTACTTTCCCCTGTTAATCCTTGTGCTTTCTGGAGAGCACATGGATTAGATTTACTTTTAGTTCCCTGTCCAGATGAAAAATGCTACTTTAGTTCTTTCAGCCTTACACCAGTCTCTGTCCACTGACCTCAGGCTAATTTTTGTACTTGTTCAATGTACAGTGGTGCCTCGCTTAACGAGTGCACTGTTTAACGAAGAATCCACATAGCGACGCATTTTTTGCGATCGCTAATGCGATCGCATTGCGGCATTTTGAATGGCAAAACATTGCATTGCGATGATCAGTAAGCATTTCGCTTACCGATCTTCGCATTGCGATGTTCTAAAAACAGCTGATTGGCGGTTCCAAAATGGCCGGCAGAAGAAAAAAATGGCCGCCCGCTCCATTTTCGCACCCTGCCCTCGCTTACCGGGCGGCGAAAATGGCGGCCGGATGGGGGAATCTTCGCATAGCGTTGAGTTTTCACCCCATAGGAACGTTTTAAACGGAGTTTAATGCGTTCCTATGGGTTCCCCCCCCCGCATAGTGACGAATCCGATTAGCGACATTAATCCTGGAACGGATTAACGTCGCTATGCGGGGCACCACTGTAGCTAATCAGGCTGGCCCATGGGCCAAACTGACCAGGCATGCCGACTTTGCAGTGCTGTGAAACATGGTCTTCTGATAGATAGCCCAGTGCTGTTCACCTGCCCATATTCATTTATGTTTTCCCGCAACCTCTTTTAATGCGAGCAGAGAACATACAGAGTTTGACTCCAACTCAACTATTGTGTGTTTTCGCCCATATTCTGCATTGTACTGTTGGTCTGCCTATGGCTAGCTACTCTCATTTACAACATTTGAGCCCAAGTAGGAAACCACCCACCCACCTAATGATCCCTGGCCAGCTTTCAGAAAGACACACCTTGGAGCTGTAGAAGGATGAGGAGAAGTTAAACAGAAGAATCATGCCTATGGAGTTTAGCTAGTAACAGTGTTAGTCTGTAGTAGTAAAAACAAAACCAGAAATCTTGGTGTATTTTTGAGACTAACTTATCTTTGCCCCAAAAGCTTTGGTGCATTCATGCACACGTCTTCAGATGTATTTATCTGAATATGTGTGCTGAGACACAAAAGCTTATGAGAAATAAAAACTCATTATTTTTAAAGGTGCTACAACACTTCTGGTTTCTCTCCTGTTTTTGGACGTAGCAGATTAGTGATCCCGACCTCTGGCTGGGCTCCCGCAGAAGGCTTTGTCCTTGGCTGAAGGACTAGCATTTGTTTACAGTTTGACAAACGGTGTGAACCTGTAAGTGACCTAATAACAATTGCTTTCTTAGGACGTGCTGTCACAGCCGGGGATACTTCCATCGACATCTTTTTATAGAGTTTCGTCTCCTGTCTTTTCATCAGAGCTGGCCACTCCTGACCAGGAGAAGGAGAACAAGTTGATGAAAAGAAATGAGTCCTTTGCGAAGGGCCCCAAGGGAAAGTCTGCAGGGATGTTGTCTGACTCAGGTGACTTGCCCAGGCATTTCTCAGGCCTGGCATCAGCTAAACTGCATCCCCTTCTGCCAGGAAAGTCAAACCGCACTCGCCAGATCCTGGCAGATGTAGAGAAGATTCTTGAAAGAACTTCATCTTCCAACAGAGTAGATTCTGGTCCCCAACCACACCAAGATGTGACTGCAACAGACAGACAGACAGCTGCCACTGTTTTTTCAAACTCTGAGCCTGAGAATTTAGAGTTCACCAATGTCTCAAAGCCTCTTTTGGAAACATTAAAAGTATCTTCTCTGACACCCAAGGGTGCTAAAACTGGGCTAGATATGCAGCGGAATGTAGAAACGAGCCTGTTTTTGGAAGGGGAGAAGCTGGGCAGGGACCAATGGGATGGGCACGTTGAAGGAGGCGGTTGCTGCCCATCGCCTGTGGATTCCTCCCCTGGAGGGAGGGCATCTCGGCCTGTCAGCGGTGTTGTCAGCCGGGATGGAATGTCTCTACCCATCTCTGAAAGGGAACTGGGGCTTCCTCCTAGTGCTGTTTCTTTAGAGGAGTCACTTGGCCCCATGTCTGAGACCAATGCCCTTGAGAGAGACAGTGAGCTTGGGTCTCTTGCTAAACCGAAAGAAGGTAAAGGGAAGAAGAAACTTCTGGAGCAATATGAATCCACAGAACTCGGCATGAGTGGGAGAGAAAGTGTACAGCAAGCTGTTGTTCTCAAGCTGGACTCCCAGCTGCCCCCTTTCTCTATACCGGGAGTAGAGACTGACACGCTGGCAGCTGCTGTGCCAGGTGAACCAAAAGATCAAGAGATACCTGGATCAAACCTGAACTCTGGTGATGGTGGCAGCAGTAGTGTGATGACCAGCTTGGCTGACCACCTAGCTTCACAGGTGTTGGGGGAAGTAGACAATTTCTCCTGGGATCTCCAAAGCTCTCATGAAAGTGACCACCTCATGGAACAACTGACTGTTCCCAAGAGATCTTTTCCAGATGCTCTTCATATCCAGGCACAAAGCTCCCCTGATGAGTGCTCTGAAAGCGAGTGCTGCTCGGAGGAGCAGATGTTCTGTAAGAATATGATGAAGAGATCAGGAGGAGCAGAGTCTGGACCAGAACAACCAGGGGCAGGCCAGAATGCGGAGCCTGATTTGACTCGGGAGATGGTCAAAGGAGCAAACACAAGGCCTCAGCAAGGAGTGGCAACCTTTCAGCCAGTGGAGCAGCAGAGGAGTGGCAAGGATAAAACGAGCATCATTCCAGAGAGCCAAGAAGGAGGACAGCTAGGGCAGAATAGAGTATCAACAGATGATGGTAGTCAGCCTGAGCTTCTGCCAGGAGACCAAGAGGTAGGCATCTTAGATCTGGTTCATTTATGACATGCTGAGAGCCCTTCTGAAGAGCAGGGAATGATGAATTTGGACCTTCCCCCTAATCCTTACATCAACTTTGATAGGGATGTGGGGCTCAGAGTGGGTGGATGAAAGTTTAAATGGAGTGCCTCTGATTGGTTCAGGGTGCCACTATCTTGTTACAGTGGGGCAACATTTTTGCCTACTTGTCTCCCACATACTCTTCTTTCACTGTGTCCCTTAATGGATGAATCGCTGTGCCTTCTGTAGCCTGACAGCTGCGGGAAGAGTCTTTGTGATGCCATAGATGAAGAGGGAGTGGCAGCTTTGAACCTGCTATGTCCTGATGGGGGAGAAGAAGTGGAAGGCAACAATAAGGTAGAAAGAGCTCTGCCCCGCCTTTCCCCAGCATGGTCTGCTAATTGAGATGGAGCAGATGGCTCCTATCTACCCCTGAAGTAGGTGGGTGGGGTATCTCTGAGGGTGTTCTTTTTAAAAGCATTATCTTCTGAACAGTTGGAGAGCTTTCCATTCTTAGTTCCCAGATGGTACTGGTATGAGTCAAGAGCACATTCATGGAGTTGTGCCCTTAGAGCCGGCCCGAAGCAAACTTTTTGCTTATATTTTTCCAGCATGAGTGCATGGCTGTCATAATTAGCCTGGCAAGCCAGACAGACCAAGGACCCAGTTCATTCAACATCTGGTTCTTCAGCTCAGGACAAGAGTGGATTAAACTGGACATATTTAAAATATGTATATTTGTTTTTAAATATTAAAATTGAAGACAAGAAGCCATCTACCCTGCCCCCAGAATCACAGCATCTGGCACCTGCTTTCAATAGGAGGAAACAGAGTCCTGGGAACTTGTAAAGGGCAAGTCATGCCCCCCAGTGGTCCAGATTAAAATTGCAGGTTGGAACATTGCCGGAAAGAAAATACAGTACTGTACAGTACTGTATATGGAAACAGTGCCCATGCAAACATGATGTCTTTTCTTTTGGTGCTCTTACATCTTAAGTCGAGTTTCCTTGGTTTAAATGCATCCATCCCAAAGGGCAAAGGTGGCCCATCATTACTCACTGAGAATAGTTAATCTTGATGGATTTTTAAAAAATTGATGAAATAAAGAATTTACAGCCAGTGGCTAGTTTCCAGGAACATTTCTAATTCCTCTTTAAAGCTGCCCATCCAAACACAGCAGCCATTGCCATTTGCTGTAGTAACCAATCATATGGTTGCAGAGGAACACCATGATGCAGGGCGTGTGCAGTGCCAAAGGAAACACCCTTCGTTTGCCTGCCCTACACTCCTAACCAGAGCTGTTTCCCTATTCACATAGTCTCTTCCTACAGTTATATTTATGCTATTGATCTCAGTCAAGTTTTCTTTCAGGGACGAAACCTGAGGGTATTCTCTAGCTTGTCCTGTGACTGAGCAATGGTTCCATTGTGTACACCTGGGGATTTACAAACTGTTTTGTTGCAGGCACATAGGAAGTGTTATGTAAGACCTCAAAGGGGACTCTTAACTTCCCTCCTTTGTGGTTTTCAGGAAAACCAAGTGGCTTATGTTAGGATGGGGAAATAGCAAAAACAATAACAAAAACAATAGTCATTTCATATGCTGTGGATTTCCAAAGGCATATGATGTGCATTGCCTTGTTCCATTTCAAGCAAGCCAAGCATGGGTTTGTCTGAGTCATGATCTTCCCCAATTCACGATGCAGAAGCTACTATACTTACTTCTGTGTGGTAAATTACATTCTACCACTTCAGAAGGAGGCAACATTGAGAGATCAGTCCAGAGCTATCCTCTCAGCATTTATCCACAATCCCCAGAAATATCTCTTCCCTATATTGGCCTGAACAAGACAGGGAGGAGATCAGAGACTCCTTTTGTGCCATTTGGCCCTCAGTGTCAGTTTTTTCCAGAACTAACAATGTAGAGCTGGCAGTCTCACATCCTTGTTGTATGTCCAGGGTCCCAGGGGAAGAGCCAGGCTTCTTGAGAATGTGCACATGGATGTCAGTGCCCTCGGTGCCAGCTTTGATGATGAGGTATGTGCTCATTATTTGGACAATTTGCTCTTCCTGAAAGGAGGAAAGATATCTTTTTTGGAATGTCCCATAATGAACAGTCATGTTGGGGAGTACTGTGGCTAAAGCGAATACCAAGGAGGGGTCATTCTGCAGTCACTATTGTGATGATACATAACAGACCTGATGGAAATAACAGAGAGAACCGCGAGGAATTGAATCTCCCAACCTCTGATTCCACAGCCAGATGCATAAACCCCTGAGCTATCCAGGCAGCTCCCCCTTGTTTACAAGTTAGTACAACATTTGAGACTTCACAATACTTCTTAATGAATTAAACTACAACTTTGAAACTACCTGGCCTATTTAATGGTGTCTGGATGTCCATTAGTTGTTTCTAATCCACTGTATGATTTGAAAAAAAAATTCCCTGAAAAAGTTAAGCACTGGGAGATTTTCAACAGAAATTTTTCAGTCCTACCTGAGTGAACTGATAGCAAGGAAAAAAATAGGAGTATACAAGGTTGGTGACTGCCCTGTATGTCTGTTTTTGTTCTAGTCTGCTGAACAGGCTGGTCATGTGAAAGAACTGCATTCTTCTGGCCATTTGGAACCTGAGCCACCTGTTACTGAGGTGAGTCAATGTGCAATAAATTAGGGCAAGAGAGAAAAGAAGCAGAAGAAGCCACAGCAGTGCAAGAAAGGAAACAAGGACCTCTTGACCTTTAGGAAACAGATGAGACTGGATGTGATGCTGAGTCACGTCATTTGGCTGCTTGTTTCCACCATCTTTGTTCTTCATCTGGGAATTAAGTTTACTTAAGGAGAACACATCCCTAGGGAAGTGTGTGTGTGGGGGGGAGAGGTGACAACCTTGCATCTGCAGAACTGAGTTTTCTAGCTTACCGCTGATATTTTTGTGGTCCTTGCATGGTCTTGTTCAGCTCTTTCCTATGTCATGGAATTTTCCAGAGGTTAACGGACACTGTAATGGCCAGGTGGCCAGACCAAAAGTGGGCAACGCTGGTTGGGAGTTGGGGAGTGGAGTCCCTCGGCTGTGGTTGGCATGCCTGCTGACTACCTTCCAAGTTCTGATCCCTCCCTTTTGCATACATAGTTGGTGCAGGATAACAGAGCAGAGGCTGTGCCCAGGTTAGTTTTTCATTCAGAGGATACTGTTAGCTGGGGCTTATGGAAGCAGTTAACTTCGCCACTCTAGTTCTTCCATATAAATGCAAAAGCCCCTTTGTAAAGAGACACGTTTATAACTCTGTCTCTACTGAAATGGGCAGCTGAATATTGCCAGGTTGGCAGTGTGTCTTCAAGAAACTTGGGCATGCAACCAGGCCCAATGTTGGGAGTGCAGTTTGCGTTCTCTCTTACCTCCATTATTTTAGACCCTCTTCGCCTGGTGGAGAGTTCTACTTAAACGTGAGCATTTGTAATGTCTGGAGTGGCCCAGTAAAGGTATCAGCACAGTCATAACTTTGTTTAAAGTGGCAGAGATTCAGGAGTTAAATTTTGTTTGTAAGGAGATTTAATTAAGAATAAGATTTAGAAAATCATCTAATCTGCAAAGACCTTAGACAGGTCTTGCATGATGGTGACCGAGAGTGATTGTTATAGCATGTTTGAAAGTTACAGCAGCCCAGTGCAGTGGAAGAAACTCAGCCCACAAAAGTCAGAGCAACCAGTACCACCATCTTGCCTGGACTCTGGAAGAGTCAGTCTGAGCTCAGGGCGTTCCATTTGCACTCATGTTTCTGTATCGCCCCATTGAGGGCTGTGCAGTTGTGAACCTTCCATTGTAGCTTTGGTTTGCAGAATGATGGCTTGTTGGCACAGAAGACGGGCCAGTGGAGATGTGGCAAAGAAGAGGAACTCAACGAGGGATCAGCAGAGGCAACTGAAAGGTACAGCATCCAAGCCCCACTGTGTTCATAGGCCTTCTTGTCGGTTCTAGTGCAGATGAGCCAGCTGGCAAATCCCTGCATGACTTCTGTTCCTCCACCTTCACCACACTGTGTTTCTGCGCGGCCACTCCTCAAGGGCCTTCCATGTGCCTTCATGCTGCCGTGGCTGCAGGGGACAGGCCTGCTGTAGACTAGAGTTTTAAGTTCAAGATGGATGGGATCTCGCTGCTCAACCAGTTTTATATGAACCTCTATGTTGAGTGCCCACAATGTGGCTCTTTCTTTATGCGACCAAGGTGGTTATTGGTGTCACCAGAGGAGACTGTTTCTCAGAGAAACAGGAGCAGGTTTTGTGCCCAGATGTTGGAGAAAATACCTCTGTGCCTTTGGATCTTGCTAGATCTATCTATTCCAAGGAACTGCTGGTTGGCAACAAGTAAGACCCCCAAATGGCCTCTTCTGGTTCTGTAGGTAGACTTTTGTACTTTGCACCAGATAATGTGACAGGCCGGCAGGTGGGTCTTGCATTGTTTGACGTTTTGGTCTCATTGCAGGAAACCTTTTTTTTCCAGTCTTCTTCCTTGGTGCAATTGATGCTAGGCACACCTTCTCCCTCAATGAGTGTAATATACAAGTTGGGCTCTGGGCCTTTTGTTACATCTGACTACAACTGTCAGAACCTGATAAGGTTGCCTGATTCCCCCTGGAATCCTTCAGAGACTTATGGATTTTCCAGGCAAAGAATAAAAGTCTATGGTTTGTCATAGCTGACATCATCCCTTTAAAGGATTAATCCCAGAATGAAAGCACACCATCAGTGACAAGCATTTCCAGACTCATCTAGAATTTTCTTCTGGACCTTGTGCTCCACTATTGCAGGGAGGTGGTTTCATGTCCAGACCTTCTCTTTGTCTCTCAGGTCACTAAAAACGGAGTTGGAGCCTGCTAGGCAATCAGAGGAACTCCACTTGCAGGAGGAAACACAAGAGGCACAGCAGAAACTCAAAACCGAGGTCCCTTTGGAAATGGAGGCAGAGAAGAAGAACATCAGGTACCAGCCCAAGTCAGTGGGGTCTGTGAGTATTCTCTTTAGCCATGGAAGCTGATGGCTTTGAGACTGATGGCAGTGCACTGTTCAGCTTTGTGTTGGAGCAAGCTGTGTATGCTGTGTATGCCTCCTTCCTGCCCACCTTGAAGAAACTTCTCAGGCTGTTCCCAGAGTTCATGACTCTTTATAAGAACTCTGCAGGGGAAGGAGCCCACTGTGAGTTGAGGTTGCTGTTGTCCCAAGGAGTTACGTGCCGTGTTCTGTGGGATATGCATTTCTGATGTGATGAGACAGAACAGAGCCTTCTAGGAGCCCTCAGGGACTCTGGCCCCAAAGGTAACAGGCAGAGCAGAGGAGGAGGCTCTAGCATCCTGCTTGGCAGCCTTCTGCCTTCCTGACACTGTAGCTACGTACTTCTCTTCCGTGGGCTCAATACCTGCCTCTTTCATGGCCATTCTCTGCTGTGAGTTGATGTCAGAGCATCTCACACTGGAAGATGTGAGTGACGGAATCTCCTGACTGGAAGGAGTGTGTTTATGTAGCAGGTTTTTGCTTTGATACTGTTAGTCTTTTTCCAATACAGAAGTCATACAAAAGAAAGAGTATTGCCTCATGCATACAGGTATATGTGAGCTTAGGTTAATGCTACTGGCAAATCCCCTCCTTTCCCCCAGAGCAGCTGAGGTGGTGACATCCGCCGCTGCTGGCAGCAATGGAAAATTTGGACACCCCTGTCTTTGGCAAAATCTGGGGTTTGGGGGCAAGGCATTCAGACCAGGAGTTGTTTTAGCTCCTGTCTATTCCATCATACTGCCTTGGTTGTCCACGTGGCATCAGTGCTGAAGGTACCTTGGCCTACCTGGGCTAAGCTGTCTGGGCCTGAGGATGCCTGCTTGGGACTGGGTTGGATCTTTTGCCTCCTGCTCAGGAGAAGAAGCAGAAAAGATCTGCTGCCCCTAACTAGCTTGAGTCGGGTATTTTGCAGGTTAGCCCAGGAAGCTGCTTTGCAGAAATTCCAGGAGGAGTTGGAATCCTTTCAGCGATCTGAGGAAGCGAGGCTGAAGGAGCAGATGCAGTTTTCTCTGGAAAGGATGAAGAAGGAAGTAGAAGCTGCCCAGCAGGTGGAGCAGATGGCACTCGAGCAGGAGAGCCAGAGAGCCCTTAGTTCCCTGAAAGAGAGGTTGCGCAGAGAGAACAAGATGGTGAGGTGTCCCCCATTTCTGTCATCCCATGTTGCCCCACAGCAGGATCCTGCTGGTGCAGTGTGTGGTTAAGTTCTAACGTGGGACTTGGCTTAGTCTCTGGCAGCTGAGTAGAGTCCACTAGTTACTCTTAGGGGTTGATTAATGAATGCTTTATGGGCAGGGTTGGTGTGCTAACCATAGTGTTTCCGGAGCTTCCAGGCCACTCCCTTGACCTTGAGGACAGCATAAATGGCTGGAGAAGCTGCATTGGAGCAACTGTCCAATTCCTCTTGAGAGAGCGCAGCCAAGGACTCACAGTGCACTCTGCAGTGATACTTAATTTCAACAGGAGGAATCATTTTTAGAACACAAAAGAGGAAGCCTGTTAAAGAGAGATGAAAAGCATGAAGAACCTCAGCTCCAGCCAGGAAGCTTGGTAGTGTTATTAAACAGCAAACGTAGTTTTGGTGGCTAGAGGGTTGGATCAAGAACCAGGTTCAGATTCCTGTTTGGTCTTGAAGCTTTTATTGGGTGACTTTGGGCCAATCATCATTCCTCAGCCTGCCCTAGGATTAACTGGGGAGTGCAGCCACCCTAATCTCCTCAGAGAAGGAAGGAAGGAAGGATTTTGGCATATACAACACTCCCTCTCCATTCTCTCTCTCTCTAATCTTTCTTCTCTTTCCCTTTCCTCCATTTCAAATTGCCTCATCCTCAGTTCATGCTGTTGGGCTATGAGCAATTTTCTGAGTTCTGGGTTCTGCTCTCCTGTGCTGTCACCCTGCACTGAGCCAAATTCATCCTCAGAACCTTGGTCAATCTGGGGGTCTTTCACTTCACTCATTTCGGCCATTTGGCTTCGAGTCAAGGGCATAATCCCCCCTCAGAACAGGCTGCTTTAAAAGTCAAGCCTCAAAATAAAACGACCACTTTTTTTCTTCTTGCCTCAGAACCAGCTCTCCCTAGAGATTGCTGCTGTTCTTCAGCACTACTTGCAACAGTATCGAGTCAGAGCCTACCCCCCTCTGCTGGGCCTCTCAGCTGGCAAGCTAGCTCGCTGTTGCTACGCAGTTTTTCCTCAGCTTTTTCCCGCCAAAACTAGGCTGCCTCAGAGCACCTTAATCTAAGTCTCCCCAGTTGGCACGTTCTTCTACTAGCGCACCTCCCCGTGAGGTACACCTAGAAGATTACCTACGCGCCTCAGACTGTCCCTGACTAGACCCCCCTTGCTCTGGGCACGCTTGCCAAGGCTTTGCTGGACCACTGGACAACTGGACCAGTCGTATCCCACACGCTGGACACCAATCAATGTGACAAACCCAGACCTACTGGGATATGTCACACAGTTACACTAAGCTGCCACCAACCATTCCCTTTAAGAAGTCACACAGACCAGGGATGGATTTTTAAACAATAAAAAGAATAAGGTTTATTTTAAATACACACAGGGAAAAATAAACAATCAGGTGAATAGGATAAAGTAACGTGGCTTATTCTCATTCATACATGCATACAGTTTGGTTCACCCAGAACCCTTAACTTGAAGCACAGACCCTGAACCTATCAGTTCTGGCTAACCAACAGACACCTGAACCTATCAGGTTGGTACTCTGACACACAGTAGTACCCTGTCTGACACACAGACTCCCACAACAGCTTCTTCTTCCCAGCTGCTGCTTCGTCACAACCCAGTGTCTCTCAGTGTCTCCTTATTTCTAAACTTCACCACACACGCATCACATATTTATACAGTACAGCCCCTCCTCCTGATGTCCCGCCTTCCACTCCCCATAGGATGGAACTTTCCCTCCAGACCCATGACAGACAGGTAACATCAGTGCTGTATGTAACAGTGACATCCGCCGCTGCTGGCAGCAATGGAAAATTTGGACACCCCTGTCTTTGGCAAAATCTGGGGTTTGGGGGCAAGGCATTCAGACCAGGAGTTGTTTTAGCTCCTGTCTATTCCATCATACTGCCTTGGTTGTCCACGTGGCATCAGTGCTGAAGGTACCTTGGCCTACCTGGGCTAAGCTGTCTGGGCCTGAGGATGCCTGCTTGGGACTGGGTTGGATCTTTTGCCTCCTGCTCAGGAGAAGAAGCAGAAAAGATCTGCTGCCCCTAACTAGCTTGAGTCGGGTATTTTGCAGGTTAGCCCAGGAAGCTGCTTTGCAGAAATTCCAGGAGGAGTTGGAATCCTTTCAGCGATCTGAGGAAGCGAGGCTGAAGGAGCAGATGCAGTTTTCTCTGGAAAGGATGAAGAAGGAAGTAGAAGCTGCCCAGCAGGTGGAGCAGATGGCACTCGAGCAGGAGAGCCAGAGAGCCCTTAGTTCCCTGAAAGAGAGGTTGCGCAGAGAGAACAAGATGGTGAGGTGTCCCCCATTTCTGTCATCCCATGTTGCCCCACAGCAGGATCCTGCTGGTGCAGTGTGTGGTTAAGTTCTAACGTGGGACTTGGCTTAGTCTCTGGCAGCTGAGTAGAGTCCACTAGTTACTCTTAGGGGTTGATTAATGAATGCTTTATGGGCAGGGTTGGTGTGCTAACCATAGTGTTTCCGGAGCTTCCAGGCCACTCCCTTGACCTTGAGGACAGCATAAATGGCTGGAGAAGCTGCATTGGAGCAACTGTCCAATTCCTCTTGAGAGAGCGCAGCCAAGGACTCACAGTGCACTCTGCAGTGATACTTAATTTCAACAGGAGGAATCATTTTTAGAACACAAAAGAGGAAGCCTGTTAAAGAGAGATGAAAAGCATGAAGAACCTCAGCTCCAGCCAGGAAGCTTGGTAGTGTTATTAAACAGCAAACGTAGTTTTGGTGGCTAGAGGGTTGGATCAAGAACCAGGTTCAGATTCCTGTTTGGTCTTGAAGCTTTTATTGGGTGACTTTGGGCCAATCATCATTCCTCAGCCTGCCCTAGGATTAACTGGGGAGTGCAGCCACCCTAATCTCCTCAGAGAAGGAAGGAAGGAAGGATTTTGGCATATACAACACAGAATGTGTCTGTTGTATCTGTAAGATTAAATATGTTTGCTATGAAAGAGGAGAATATTGAATTTGCATAACATTGGATTCTGACCCGTCAGAATGTGCCTGGAGTCAGCCAAGCTGATCTTATAAGGCAGGTGTCAGTCAAACGCCTGTCCGAGAGGGTCCAACATGTCATAGGGACAGAAGTAAATGTGTAAGAGCTTCAGATAGGGGTCTCACATGGTATGGACCTCAGACAGAAATAAACGAACTGATAGTGATTTAATAGGGCCAGTTAGGGTTTACAAATGTAGTAGCGTTATAATGAGAGAGTAAGTTATTTGCAGAGAAATTATGTCTGTCAGTAAGTCCAGAAAACTTATGACAAATACCAAATGTCTAAACGCTGTGAGTTGTATTTTACACACATAAGTAGTAAAAATTATTTCATGTTTTGACCCAAACCACAAGTGATTATTTTAATTGCTGGCACAAAAGACAGTAAAGGGAGAACACCAAATTTTACTCTTTGCAAAAGTGTTTTTTTATCTATACAATTCCAGCTGCTTTGTACATGCTCTGCAAATTCTAGGTTTTATATTATTTATTAAACTAAAAAGCCAACAAAGGTGTAGATGCCTTCATTATGAAAGCACAGAAGAAACATCTGAGAAGTCCAGATGGGTCCCAATAGGTTTAAAAAACCAAGAGGGTGGATTATTATTATTATTATTTATTTGATTTGTATCCCGCTCATCTGGTAACTTACAGAGAAAGTGTTTTTTTGTTAAACCAGAAATGAGAAGACTTCAAAGGTATTTTATAAATAGTCCTTTTTGCTCCCTGCAAGGAGGGAACTGCTCTCTGGCCCCAGCCACTGCTGGCACGCAGCTCCGTGACAGATGAGCCCTGAGGGCCGGCATCCCTGATCAGAAAAAAAGGTTCCTGCTGCCATCTGATGGTGTGTGTGTGGGGGAGGCACCTACTCCTCGGTGCTGCAGACCTTGACTGGCTGCTTAATGGCTTTGCAGGCCATGGAAGAATTGGAGCTACAGTTTGCAGCAGAGCTTCAGCGGCAGAAATCGACAGCAGAAGAGGAACATCAAAAGGTACAGTATTAGGAAAGGTGCTCTGGCAGCCGTTTGTCTCCAGCTCCTCCCATAGGTGGACCTTCGCAATCCTAGCAGGATGTTCCTCTTTTTCTTTGTCCTTTCTGTGCAGCCCTACATTTGTATTCTGTACCAGCACAGACCTTATTGGGCCACTTTGTAAATCAAGAAAACCTCTGGAGCAGGACCTGCCTCAAAAGCTTCAGGCCTTGCACTTGTGGTGCCAGTACTGTGATAACGACAGTCTAAGCATCCCTGGCTGAAATCCAGGAGTAGGATGCAACTAGAGTAGGTCCACTGAATCAGTGCAACTTACAGAGGAATTAACTAACCAAATCCTCACTGATTCATTGGGCCTACTCTAGTTGTAACTTACTCCTGGATTTCAACCATTGTCTACTTTGCTGACTCTTAGGTGATGCCCTGCTCCTCTTTACTCCCTTGGATAGTGCTATTTCCTTGGATAATTCCCTTGTTCATATTACTCCTCCTCATCCCCACATCCTCCTCCGAGGCAGCCCCTAGCTTGCTGGTCTTCATAGTCTCCTTGTGCACTGATGCTGAAACTTTTGCTGGCTAACTTTCTCCTTCCAGAAATGCACCAGACTCTTCCACTAGGTTCACAGCAACATCTGCAGCCTTCTTTTGCCACTTTGCAATGCTCAGGGGGCTTTGCCAGCCTGCTGCATGGCCCAGATCCTCTTGCTGCATTCAGCACGGACAGATGCCCACGGCAGGTTGGCTGCCTCTTTTAGAATGGCCCTGCTCATCTTCCTGGGTTTTTTAGCATCTGCCTGCCTCAGGAAACTGAGCTTGCTCATTGGCCCCTCCATGGGACTGCACAGGGACAAAAAATAATGACCAGGGATTGATGTCGTTGAGTAGCTGGCTGTGTTGTCCCCTTTCCTGGTGCTTTGATGAAGCCGTTCCCATTCTGTTTTATCCATGCTCTGTTGACTGGAATTTGAAATGCAGTAGCCAGACAGCAGTCTGCAGCAGCAATTTTCCAGAGGAGGCCAGTTCTTGACTTTGTAGAAGCCTCCATGTTGAGCTTTGCACAAATACCCAAATGGTCTCTGTTTCTGCACAGAAGAGGGTTGGGGGAAATCATGTGACAGGTCAGCCCTCGCCATGTTTACCTTCTGATCACAGAAACATTGGCTGCTCTTGCAGGTTAGACTCCTCATGCCCTCTCTTTCCATTTCCTGTCAGGTTGTCTCAACCCTGCAGATGCAGATCTTGGAGGTTCAGAGGAAAGGGGAGGCAGAGTTGGAGAAGGCGTTGGAGGGTGCAGAGCATCATGTCCAACAGAAGAGACAACAAGTAGCTGAGTACCAGCGAGAGGTAAGGAGCTGGCTGTGGCCTTGGCAGGGGTGGGGCCACCAAAGTCTCAGGCTTTCTATTCTTCCCCTGAGTGCCGCCACCAGACTTCTCTGAATAGGCACCTGCTGTTTGGAGAACGGGTGAGTCATAGTTGCAAGGATGGCACTGGGAAAGAGGTGAGACACAACCAAGCCCAGTGCATGATGCAGAACAACATCCGCACCCAGCCTTCCTTTCCCACTGGTCATCAGAGGGCAGACGGGAAGCCAGTGGGAAGCCTCCAGGAGGAAAGGAGCAGCCCTCCTCTAGGGTCCACTCCCAGGAAGGCTCCTGGTCGGCCCTGGCCATTTTGCCGGCCGTGTGGGGCTCCATGATGGTGGTGGGGGAAGGGCAGCCTAACTCAGAGGACTCCGATTGTAGCTCAGTGACCTCCTGAAGGAGAAGCGGCAAGAAGTTGAAGAAAATCACGCCAGACAGCTGGAGAAAATCCAAGAGGCGCACCGAGAGGCCCTGGCTAAGATCCAGGTGCAACACGAGGAGGAGGTAAGCTCCTGGCTAGGCCTGCTGGGTCAGGCTTGGTCAGCAGGCACCCCACGGTCACTGTGGCGGTTGATGGGAGGAGTGGCAGTAAGGGAAGACGAGAAAGAGCAGGGAAGGACGCAGGAGGACAGCCGCGTCCTTCCTTCACCTCTTTGCAGCAAAAGAGGCAAGCCTGCTGGGCGGCCCGGCGGGCGGGCCTGAGGCAGTTCCACTTGGCAGAGCTGGAGGCTGTGCAGAAGAATCTCTCTCTCTCTCTCTCTCTCTCTCTCTCTCTCTCTCTCTGTGTGTGTGTGTGTGTGTGTGTGTGTGTGTGTGTGTGTGTGTGTGTGTGTGTGTGTGTGTGTGTG